TAATTACGTAATTTATATTAAGTTTTCCGCCGAATTTTATACGAACATCTAAACATCAGAGCTCATTATGATGGATGAATCGTTTAAAATGCTACTTGACTCCACTTAAACAATCTACTAACATCTTAACGCGTCTAGAACAATGTTGGTTGCCTATAAAGCCCGCGAAAGCGGAACGGGCAGTCAGTCTAAGATAAATCGAACCTTACATTTTCACTCTTGCTCGGATTACCAACCTTATTTTCATAGAACATAGAACTCATGGATCACGTTAATTTTTCTTTGTTTAGTATAATTGCTAGTTAAAGGTAGTAATTAGGAGTAGTTGCACCATACAGGGTGTTACAAAATTCGTCACGAAAATGCTGAAGATTTTAAGAGCGTATTTTTGAGATCGAGGTTAAGATTTTTTTTCCTATAAACATGTACCTACCTACATACTACAGCCATCATACTCAGTAGTCAGGGCCGGATTTATGGTAAGCGCCGCCCCAGGCCCCAAAAAATTGCCGCCCCCAATGCCCCCATCCAAGATACTATATTTAATTTTTAACAATTTTCCAAAAAAATTAAAAAACTACCTTAAGAAACAAAAATTTTATTCTTGCCGCCCTCATAAATTTGCCGCCCCAGGCCCGGACTCGTTAGACTCAGCCATATAGACCTCTGGGAAAACCAAACTTCCGTTCTCTTAACTAACATATAATATAATACCTCTACTTACATATTATTTTTCTACATATAAACGTTATAAATATATATAAATAAAATTATGATTGAATAAATTTTTTAAAAACATCTTAAAAAGGAAAGAGGGATTCCTTCTTTAAAAATATATCCCCTCTTAAAGATCTATAAAAAAAATTTTTTTTAAAATATAAATTTATTCCCCGACCTTGTTGGCCTAGGCGTAAATCAGGCACTGTTTAGGTCTATGTCCTTTCGACCGATCTGAATATTTACCTCTAACAGTTTTCCTAAAAAGTTCATTTTTTTTCTACAATTCGAATAATCGATGTCTACAGCTCACGTAGGCTTTAAAACACCACTTTTTCCTCACATTTCGAAGATTTGTTGGGCGACGTCCTTTAGCCACCGTGCGACCCTTCGAAGGATGTGGATGCAACATGATGGTGCTCCACCTCACTATGCCGTGCGGGTTCGTCTGTATTTAAACGAAACATTTCCAAAACAGATGACTCAGTGACACAAATCGCATTATGCTCGATGCGGAGTTTTCGAGTTATAATTTTTTTATAGAGGCGTTAGATTTATTTTTCATCGTCTCTCCCTTCCATAGAAAAATCGCCGGTAGAGGTATCGATCTATTATTAACGCCCTTTATAGAAAAAACTAAGTAGAATCCAATGGCGAAAACCGCATTGTGCTCTGATGATTCGTTTTCGAGTTATAATTTTTTTTATAGAAGCGTTGGATTTATTTTCATCGTCTCTCCCTTCCATAGAAAAATCGCCGGTAGAGGTATCGATCTATTATTAACGCCCTTTATAGAAAAAACCAAGTAGAATCCAATGGCGAAAACCGCATTGTGCTCTGATGATTCGTTTTCGAGTTATATGGAGTTTTTTTATAGAAGCGTTGGATTTATTTTCATCATCTCTCCCTTCCATAGAAAAAATCTCCGGTAGAGGTATCGATCTATTATTAACGCCCTTTATAGAAAAAAACTCAGTAGAATCCAAGGCCCCAAAAAATTGCCGCCCCCAATGCCCCCATCCAAGATATTATATTTTATTTTTAACAATTTTCCAAAAAAATTAAAAAACTACCTTAAGAAACACAAATTTTATTCTTGCCGCCCTATAAATTGGCCGCCCCAGGCCCGGGCCTTGTTGTCCTAGGCGTAAATCCGGCACTGTCAGTAGTTTAGTTCTGGACGGATCAAGTGCCTTAAAATTTGTTTGCCATCAAATTTAAAATCTTGTTTTAGATGATTTTAAACTCATTCGTGGTTTACAAATTTCGTATTTTTTTTAGCAATAGTATATTTTCGCTCCACTTTGTTATGCCAACTTTTACATAGTCACTGTATAATGTAACTAAAATATTATTATGAAACCATAATTAAAATTAATATCACTCCAGGCCACTCCAGGGTAGTTTTTGTACCATTTGTAGCTATAGTTGTAAGTTGTTCTATCCTTTGATCTATTTTTCCATATTGCAAGATTTGTATATATTATTTATTAATTGTTGTTATGTAAACTATGGAGTATTATTTCCCACGTCCTTCAGTAGTCAGAGATATTTAAAACAAAGACGTACATTAAATTTCTTAAAAGTAAAATAGTATTTGGATAAATAAATATATTATTTAATATTCCGTAACTTTTATGTCATTAATATCGATATTTGTTTAAGTAAGCTGGTGTTAAGTTAAACATTTATAAAATATCTGCGGAACCATTGTCATTTGACTGACTATGGATAAACATGTGAATTTTAAAGAAATAAACGAAATAATAGAGAATAGAGTATGAGGACTCCCAAGACGTGATTTTTGACGGTATTGGACCATGGAATCGAAATACCTTCATTGGTCGTAGTTACCAAAGCCCGATGGAAGGCTTAATAAAATAAAATGTTTATTTATCGATCATAAAATACAACTAGCTAAATACCCGCGGCTTCGCTCGAATGCCAAAATTCCAACCTTTTTAATATGAGATAGTTTTCACCCTTTTTAACCCATTCGATTAAGTAAAAACTACGCAAAGGAAATAAAATAAAATTGACGCATTTCGCCGCTTTTCAAAATATCAAATGCTTTTAAAACAAAAACTTTGATTTTCAGTGGTTATTATACCCCTTGGAATTATAATTTGGAAATGTCCCTTCAGGTAAAATCTCTATACCCTACAACCAATCTGTGTGCCAAAATTAAGAAAAAATCCTACGAAATTTTAAAAGTAAGGAAAAAGAATGTTTCGTCGTTTTTTTAAAATATGTATCTAACTTTTTTGAGATAAAAAATATTTTAATATTTAGGGGATAAGTTCAACCCCTTGGAATTAGCAATTTGAAATACCCCTTCTGGTAATAACTCTCTACTCTAAAATCGATCCGTGCCACAATTCAGAAAAATACATAGTCATTTTAAAAGTACGGGGTAGCTTTCACTCTCTTGCACAAATCTTTCACTTCAAGGAAAAATCTATATATTTAAGAAACCAAAAAGCGCTTTTCTTTTCAAGCTTTGTTCTCGGCTTCCACTTGACCGATTTGGATGCGACTTTTTTGTAATTAATACAGTCAATCCACAGATGTGTCATCACCAACTATTACAAATCCTTATTACGTATTTTTTATATAAAACGACGATATACAAATTTATATAAATGAGTGTATTTCACTGTCCGTTCTGTACTTGGGGCGCCATCTCGCATCTTTCTTTGAAACTATTATAACATAAACCTAGCGGCTGGATTGTGGCTTTGTTTATAGATTAGGTCATGCAATTTTATTTTATTTTTTTGTGTAGTTTTTACTTAATTGAATGGGTTTTGCAAGGGGGGTTAAAACTATCCCATATTAAAAAGTTTGGAATTTTGGCATGCGAGCGAAGCCGCGGAGTATTTAGCTAGTGGTATTTTATACAGAAAAATAAAATATATGGAAAAATTAAATAAATTAGATTAAATATCCCTTCTGGTAAAAACACTATACTGTAAAATCAATGTGTGCCGAAATTCAGAAAAATCCATCGACATTTTAAAAGTACGGGGTAGTTTTACCCCTTACACAAATCTAACGTACCTATCTAAAATAGCTACTTATAAGAACAAAATAAATTTAAAAAATCCTACAACTCTTAACTCGATAACTCTTTTAATTATAAAACTCTTAAAATAAAGAAAACACTTATAACAGAAACAAAATCTAATAACATATCTATTCCACGAATGAAAATAACAATTAGGTACTGGTAGCTAAGAATCCAATGAATTTTAGAATACCAAAGTTGTCGAAACTCTCGGCAGCATACCTATACAGCCGCTGCACTGCGTGGTCTCGTGTATCTGTGTGTTTCAAAGAAAGATGCGAGAACGGTACGAGGCGCCCCAAGTATAGAACGACGACGTTCACGGCCAGTGAAATACGCTCATTTATTTGTTTTATATCGTTGTTTTATATAAAATACGTAATAAGGATTTATAATAGTTAGTGATAAACGTCTGTGTTGCTTATTAATACAAAAAAGTCGCATCCAATCGGTCAAGTGGAAGCCGAGACAAAGCTGGAAAAGAAAACGCTTTCCTTTTACATATATAGAAGATAGATAGGTATGTAAAGGTAACATGAAAAATTGTGAATAAAACCTTATTTAAAAGACAAAGTACTAGGACCTATACATAAAAAAGTGGACAGAAACCTAAATATCTAGAGAGTTTTCATTTTATAGACCGAGAGATGGTGACAGTCGAAAGTCACCGATACCAACGGCAAACAATTTTTCATTAAAAATTGTCCCGTATAAGTCGTTCGGATTCGACTTTAAACTGTAGGTCCCCGTCTCCTTTGCTCACACAGGTTTCGGTCTCAGGGAGTTACACTAGTAACGTGGAAGGGTAATAAACACAAACACATTTAAAAAAAGGGACTATCCAATAAATAAATGACATAGGGGGTGGAAAAAACACATCGATGACACTATAATTGACTCCTGATGTAAAACCAACTTATGGTGCCTCTATAGATATAAAGCAGACTGTTAACATAATAATAATATGTAAGAGCTTAATTGCTGTTCAAGTGGATGATGTGTGGGTAAACAAGGTAAATGCCCCTGTCTGTGATATGCGTAAATAATTTATTTACAATTTAATCAACTAGATTGACTGTTGATGAAATAGATATAAAACTAAAATGGACGTATTGGGAAACTGTAAATTCTATTATATCCAATAATTAATCAAAGCTTCCAACAATAAGAGTAAAGAAAACATTTTTTTTTGTGTGAAAATTAATTTGAAAAAGCTTGTAGCTCCGGGTAGAAATCAAACCCACGCCCACAGATTTGCGGCCTGTTGCTCTAAACACTGAGCTAGCAAACACCGTAAGTCCTGTTTGATTTTTTTGGTGGAAATAAATAAAAAAAAAAAAAAAAAAAAAGAAGAGGGGGGGGGGGGGGGGGGGGGGGGGGGGGGGGGGGGGGGGGGGGGGGGGGGGGGGGGGGGGGGGGGAAAGGGGGGGGGGGAGGGGAAAATTTTAGGTTTTTTTTTGGGGGGGGGGGGAAAGAAAAAAAAAAAGGGGGAGGGAAAAAAAAGGGGGGGAAGAAGAAAAGGGGGGGGGGGGGGGGAGGGGGGGGGGGGGGGGGGGGGGGAAAAAGAAAAAAAAAAATATTTGGGGCAACGCGGCATATTTTTTTAAAAAGAAGGGGGAAAAGGGGGGGGGGAAAAAAGGGGGGGGGGGGGAAAAATTTGGGGGGGTGGGGGGGGGTAGGGGGGGGGGGGGGAAAAGGGGGGAAAAAAAAAAAAAAAAAAAAAAAAAACCCCCCCCTTTCCCGGGGGGTTGGGAGGGGGCCGGGGAAACTTAAAAGGGGAATAAAAACCGCGGGGGGGGGCTTAAAAAAAGCAAAAAAGGAAAACAAAGAAAAAATACATTATACACCTCCGTTTGTAATAAAGAATAGTTTCCAATTCTCATTTTTCAATCGCTAGCTGCTGGTAACAATTCATTTTTATCGGATTTGTTTTTAATATTAGCGCCTTCGCCATTTACTAGATTTTAAAAATATATAAATGTTTTAATTAATTTCTGGTAGGTAACAATTTTATTACAATTTTATTTATTTATTTTTTTACCGTCTAGGGATTCAAATGTAATCTTATTGGCGCCTGCATTCTATCTTTTCCGCTAATAGCTGAATGAAATGTTTGTTTCTGGATTAGGGACACAATTAGATTTAGTGGGTAGTTTATAGACTTAATGGTTATTTGCAAAATATAAGGCGGATAACATCCGATGGATTACATTTGTTATTAAGAATTGTGATTGTATATTTACTGCATGTAATAATTTTAATGCCCGGATTAAGACTGCAGTTGTAGAAAAACTTGTTTACATAATATAATTCACCATATAAATCGTTTAAATAAAATATTGCTTTTAAACTTATGACTGAAGGTAATTTTATCGTAAAACTCTGCAGTACAATTTATTTTAGGTACCTACGCCTTGTATTGATACTGATTTTTATTTTATGACAGCAACGATCGTTGATTACTGTTCATGCTGTTTTAAATAACAGATTACTAAAAAAAAACTTTACTATTTAGAGATTTTTTTCCATATTATATAATACGATTATTTTGAAAAGCGGTATACTACTTAAACGTGAATTGTACTATTTAATTTTTTTAGCGTATTCGAAGTAGTTATATAAATTAATCTATTTAATTTGGCTTGTAAAATAGTATATTATTCAACAAGCATATAATGACAGCTGTTATTCACGAGGGTGATGTTTGCGACACGAGCCGTAGAGGTAAGTGTCGTAAATCACCCGAGTGAATAGTAGCCATTATATGCGAGTAGAATACTAACTTTGTCCACGACTATGAACCTAATTTTATTTTTATAAGTTACAATTTCAGAAAGAGGTTAAATTTTGGCGTGGTGCCATGTTTGTTTTAATTGTTTTACAAAGGTTCACGGAAAAAACTACTAAAATAAACGACATTTATCAGGACTATTGTGTCATTTTATTAAGACATCCCCATATTTTAAACAGCTAACAAACTTAAATGAAGCAAATATGACACAAATTTTGACCATTCAAATCAAATCAAAATTAACCTTTGACACATTCTTATCGCTTACTAATAAAATAAAGCATGTGGTCCGTAGGTAAATGGTTTCAAAACGTTGAGATTGCCAGTATTTGTTGCTAATACCTAGCTGATGTTTTGAAAGAACGTACAGTAGTATGTAGGTTTTGAGTGCTCATTTGAGTTCTTCTTAGAAAACGTATAGACAAGACTTCTCTTTTGGTTGCTACAATTTTGACATTTAAAATCTTTAGTAAAAAGTCACTAATATGATTTGTAATGAACAGTTGACGGTCCTCGTTATTCACTAGTGAATAATGAAATCATTATTCACTAGTTAATAATGGATAGCATTATTCTTGAGGAAACACATACATAATGGATACATTATTTAACAGCCGTGGACAAAATACATCTTCTTTTGAATTAGTATATGTAAATAATTTTAAATAAATAAGAATCTCGATGCATTAGCTTTAACTTTCTATAGCTAATGTGTAATATAATATGTCATACACTATTTATTTTCTAGTCTACCTTTTATTTTTTTATAACAATTCATACACGTGCCATAGGCTTTCGACGTTAACTGAAAAAATCAATGAATAAAAAGTTATGGTCGTTAACTTTAAATTTTATTGCGTTAATAATTATGTAAATATTTATTTTTATTTGTGGTACCTATATTTATCTACAGCTGTATAAACTGGAGTAAATATGTAGGGATTACTATTAAATATACATTTTACATGTTGTTCTGTGATACAGAATACTAAAATGACTAGATAATCACTACTTTCACGTCCAGAGATATACTTAAAATGGTCATCTTCAAAGAAGTCTTTTTTGGTTTTCAATTTACTCCTACATTAGGTAGGACAGTAATTAATTTAATATTAATTATAATATTAATTATAATAAATAGAACTCACTCTTTTTGTGTTAGGCCTAGGAGTTTCAAACTGGACGAAACACAAAAAGGCGTTCTACTCCGTGTAATACGAGCACATAAAACGTTTAGACAGATCTGGTTGCAATTTGTGATCATAATTAACAAAATTAAACAATTTAAGATCGTCGACATAGAGTGAAGGTACCGAACAACATCGTTGATAAAAGAATTAAATAGGAGCGGGCCGAGAACAGATCCTCGTGGGGCTCCCGAGGCACATAATATAGTACTCTACATGGGAGGCATGAATAAATTTGTTTTACCATATTCCAATCTATTTAATGTTATTGACGAATCAGGGTGTAAATATTTTTTATTTTGGCGATATAATATTTTATACTCGACATAAAAAGTAGGTAAACGTTTTTATTCAAATAAATAGTTTTGTTCGACAATCCAAAAATAATCCACAAACCAAATAATCAAAATATTCTTGATAATATGTTGATATCGGCAAAGCTGCGCTATTTATATACACGATGTTTATAAGATATCCACCACAAAACGAGTTATTTCTCGGATTGGATTAATTTTCCTATTAATAAAAATCAAACTGCAATAACGTTTGTCCACAATAAAAATGTTATTATTTCTTGAATTAGATATGTGTTTCCATTAATTTTCAGTGTATTTATAGATTGCAAAAGGCAAAGAACTTATCATTTTGACCTTCCTTATACAATACATATAAAGCAGAACCTATTTTTACATGCCGTGATAGTATAAAGTGTAATTGATACGCTTTGAGGGCGCCATTCATTATTTTTAATAAATGGACTAACCACTCGTTATTGAAACATAATTCAAAACAGTGGCGTACCCAGAAAAATATATAATGTAGCCAAATCTAACAGGATAAAACCTATTGACATAGAATAAATAGAGCCAACTGACTGGTTTAGGAATCCCCCCCCTCCCCCTTTCACTCCGGAAGCGCCAGTTTTTAAATAATTATACAATCTATTGTAAGCAAACAGTACATCATGTCAACTATCTTTACACAATATAACATGTAACAATAATTATTATTGATCGTAAAAGCGGTGTAAAATTTTGTAATAAAACATTTTATTACCGCGCTCTTATCTTTCCTGCAATAAAAGGAACAAGATCGCGCTCCGCCAGTCACGCACAGCATCTTCGCTTACTTTAGCACAGGGCCGGATTTATTGGAAAACGCCACCCCAGGCCCCAAAAAATTGCCGCCCCCAATGCCCCCATCCAAGATACTATATTTAATTTATAACAATTTTCCAAAAAAATTAAAAAACTACCTTAAGAAACAAAAATTGTATTCTTGCCGCCCTCATAAATTTGCCGCCCCAGCCGGGCCTGGGCCTTGTTGGCCTAGGCGTAAATCAGCACTGTTTAGGTCTATGTCCTTTCGACTGATCTAAATAATTACCTCTAACAGTTTTCCTAAAATTCGATTCTTTTCTATAATTTAAATAAACATTCTCAGCGTCTTTTTAAAACACCATTTCCCTCAATTTTATCGGCTTTATGGCAAACTCTCGGATTGTTGGGCGACTCCTTTGCCCGTGCGACCTTCGAAGGATGTGGATTCAACATTATGGTGTTCATTCTCACTATGCCGTTCAGGTTCTTCTGTATTTAAACGAAACATTTCCAAAACAGATGACTCCAGTGACGCAAATCGCATTATGCTCAGATGATTTGTTTTCTAGTTATATTTTTTTTTATAGAGGTTAGATTTATTTTCATCGTCTCTCCCTTCCATAGAAAAATCGCCGGTAGAGGTATCGATCCATTATTAACGCCCTTTATAGAAAAAACTAAGTGGAATTCAATGACGAAAACCGCATTGTGCTCTGATGATTCGTTTTCGAGTTATAATTTTTTTTATAGAAGCGTTGGAATTTTCATCGTCTCTCCCTTCCATAGAAAAATCGCCGGTAGAGGTATCGATCTATTATTAACGCCCTTTATAGAAAAAACTAAGTAGAATTCCAATGGCGAAAACCGCATTGTGCTCTGATGATTCGTTTTCGAGTTATAATTTTTTTTATAGAGGCGTTAGATTTATTTTTCATCGTCTCTCCCTTCCATAGAAAAATCGCCGGTAGAGTTATCGATCTATTACTAACGCCCTTTATAGAAAAAAACTAAGTAGAATCCAATGGCGAAAACCGCATTGTGCTCTGATGATTCGTTTTCGAGTTATAATTTTTTTATAGAAGCGTTGGATTTATTTTCATCGTCTCTCCCTTCCATAGAAAAATCGCCGGTAGAGGTATCGATCTATTATTAACGCCCTTTATAGAAAAAAAACTAAGTAGAATTCAATGGCGAAAACCGCATTGTGCTCTG